TAGATGTTGAGTGGAAAATGGAAAGCCGCGTTCAGTAAGAAAAACATTGCAATGAAGATAAAACTAGCCATAAACTTGGAGCGGCGCAAAAAAGTTCTGCGGGAACATTTGTAGGGAATCAATGATTTTTTGAGAAACGTTTTCTACGGTATAAAATACCTTTTGCAACTCGAGTTCGTTCAGAAAACTATTGGCTGTTCTTTCTGCTTCTTTCTGAATTTGCTTTCATCTCTACTGCCTTCTTGGGTTTCCTCTCTGGTCTCTGTTTGAGCTCGTCCGTTGCAGTCATTCTTTCCGACAGGTCACCTTACATGAAACTTCGAATTGGTATGATAAGTACCTTTTTTTACGATTTTATTTGGCAATCCCAGAAAACGGCGTGTGCCACTGAGAACTGGTACTCCTAACAGTAACCCGGGTTTACGAGATTGTGGTTCCTTGTGTCTGTTTATCATTTTGACTCACGTTCCACCCTCTTTTTGTGTGATCCGATTCTTGACACATGACACACTGCTCTTGAACTTGATTCCCTTCTTAAATATGATTCAATGTGATCCATCAAAATTTAACATTTCGTGGCAAAGAAAAGACACGCAAGTAGATAGGCAGAGAAAGTGTTTGATATGATGTTGTACATAAAAAAGGTTTATGAGAGGCACAAGTGTTGGTTGGTGACACATTTCGGAGCACCTTCAGCACGATCACCCTGGTCTTTTCGCTTTCGCTTGGGCATGGTCACACGAAATCTTCTAGAAAGGTTGAGGAACCTATGCATTTAAGTTCACGTGTAATGATGTTGATGTATGTGGCCTCACGGTAATCGTCGAATCGCATGGTAACGGTCGGTACCTGATTACGGACAGCTTGGCGAAGTCAGCAATGTCCTTGATTTTTGGTCAGGGGCCGGGTTTGAAAGAGCGAATTTCGTCTCGTTCTCTCGATTCAGTAGTTCACATATGACAATCCATTAGGCACTCGACGCAGTGCTCAAGAAAACTGTATATCGCGCCTATCGGCTTATGATCGGATATGCTGTGCTTCACGGAAACTCACCAGAAGAAGGAAG